AAATTGATGTGATGTGTAAGAATGATTGAGAAATTTAATTATATTGATAATAATACTGAGGATAGTGAAATTGAATTAAAGTTTAATTAGATTTTGAGTATGAATTGAGTATGGATTATATTTAATAATATACAAGTTGTTAAATAAAAATGACAATGCTTTTCCATGATTGTAAAGAAAGAAGGTTCAAGAGTGACTATACAAAAATTTGACTTATGCCCCACCAAAAATATGATTTTTGAGCCACACCTAAACAACACTTGCATCCAAATTTTGCTAGTGTGTGTGCTTCTTATCTAATCATAAAGATCTGCAGCAATTTTCACAAGAGGACAATTCCCAAGAGATCAACTTGAATAATTGAGATAAGAGAGGGCTTTCCCAACCATCAACCTCCATAGTACTTGAAACCAACTGTTTTCTTGAGTGTACTATGATATATAGCATTGGATAAAGAATTCAATAGTAAAATCACACTTCCACTCTTGATGGAGACTTCTATTTGATGCAACATCATGATATTTACAACACCAAAAGATCCTAGCTTGGATCAAAAATTAAGAAGAAGATCAAAGCTACATTTATCAAAAAGATATTGTTCTTTGACTAATAACTAAGAGATGATCACAAAACATCCTAGAATTGAGAGAGAGAGAGAGATAGAGATTCTTAACTGTAAGAAACCGGGAAAACGGGCAGATGAAGCCCACCATAAGCAGGAATGCCTAGATGAAGCTCTAGTGAGGTTCCATTCCAAAACCAATTGGTGGAAGGAAGAGTAGCCCATGAGACTTATAAATTATGCCTATTTTCCCTGTATAATCGATGTGGGACAACTCACAAGTGAATATCTTAATATTGAAAATAGCACAAGCCATTTGTAGCTTGATTCTCATCTCTTATAATTTTCTCCTTACAAGCTGATATAATATCAAATGGAAAACCCAATGGGTTTTTTGCAACTAGCTCAAACCTGAATAAAAACAAGAAAATACAACAACATATGCAACAAATCACCATGTTATCAAGAGGTTCTCAATCTCTTGGAAGCACTCAAAGATGGTGTGATCTGTGGAACCACAAAAGGGCTGTCCTCACACCACTTCTTCCATCTAGCTTTAATATTCTTATCAACAGCAAATTCCTTGCTTCCATTTGGTGCCCCAAAGGCCATATCCATAGACTGATTCTGCATCAGATTCAATGGAGAATCATCTCGAGGGCCCCGAAATCCCGAATTTTCAGCGGGAAAAGAACTCGTGTTGTTCTCAATATCAGCATCCCACAAAGGCATCAATTCATGGCCTCCACTCTACACAAAAAATAAATCAAGATAGAATCTTTATGCAATTGTTAACACAAAAAGCAAGCACATAGGTCCAAGAACTTCAAAGCTTACAGAAAAACCATAAGGGAACTGATAAGAGGAATCAAGAAAATCCTCAACGTGCCATCCAGGTAGCATTTCCCCCAAATATTCCGATAAAGCACTCGCCGGGACCAAATTATTCAG